CCTCCTCCTTTTTTTAATCACTCTTTTAGAATTTGTGGGTGAATCCAGACCCACAGCAATGTGACTGACTCTTAACTACCCTCTGAAATGACCTAGAAAGCCACTCAGTCTCAGAGCAACAAAGAATAGACAAGAAACGCTCACATCAGCTGAAAGTGTATGTTTAAATACCAACTCCACGCAGAACTTGAGAAATACAAACAGAAAGAGAGCTGCATGAAACTAACCTAGTTTGCTTTTGTTCTCCTCTAACTCAAAGTGCTAACATAACCACCAGCAATGTCCTGTTTTATTACTGCTTGTCCTGCTTACTCCACTGTTCTACTCCTAATCATCAGTGAGGTGATGGATGGCATAGTTGATAATGCTATCAAACAGCATTTATACATCAATAACCTGTTCACAGATAGTGGTTCAGGTTAGCTTCTTCCAGACCAACTCAGCATCTGATCTCATCACAGTCTTGGTCCACATATGGACATTTGATCTAAACTCTGAGCTGTGTGGCGTCAAGGACATCTGGCAAAACTGAAGTCAGTAGAAATTAGTGGGAAAACTGTTCACTGGTTGATATCATTCCAGCACATTTGGGCAGCACGGTAGCTCAGTGGTTAGCACTGCTGCCTCACAGTGCCACGGACCCAGGTTCAATTCCACCCTCAGGCGACTGTCTGTGTGGAGTTTGCACATTCTTCCCGTGTCTGTGTGGGTTTCCTCTGGGTGCTCCAGTTTCCTCCCACAGTCCAAAGATGTGCAGGCTAGGTGGATTGACCATACTAAATTGCCCATAGTGCTCAGGGATGTGTAGATTAGGGGGATGGATCTGGGTGGGATGCTCTGAGGGTCGGTGTGGACTTGTTGGGCCAAAGAGCCTGTTTCCACACTGTAGGATTCTATGAACGAAATTTTAATGATCTGATCTGCTCTTCATCAGCTCTGATGAAGAGTCATCTAAACTCGAGATGTTAGCTTGCTCTCTCTCCAGGACGCTGCCTGAAAACCTGTGATTTCCAGCATTTTTTTGTTTTCAATATAGATTCCAGCATCTGCAGGAATTTGCTTGTAGCATTTTACTAAGATTGTTCAGCTCCAATGTTTTTAGAACCTCACGTTGAAATTATGAACTGTGGCTATGCAAAATTAATTTGGTCCAAGTGTTGTGGATAATATTGCGTCTAGGGTAGGGGAGTTCAAAACTAGAGAGCATAGGTTTAAGGTGAGAGAGGAAAGATTCAAAAGGGACCTAAGGGACAACTTTTTCACACAGAGGGTGGTGCGTGTATGGAATGAGCTAATCATCAGTGAGCTGTCAGAGGAAGTGGTGGAGGCTGGTACAATTACAACATTTAAAAGACATTTAGACAGGTACTTGAATCGGAAGAGTTTCAAGGGATATGGGCCAAATGCAGGCAAGTGGGACTAGTTCACATAATTAGCATGGATGAGTTGCACTGAAGAGTCTGTTTCCGTGCTGTATGATTCTGTCTCTAAGTGAGTTGAGATGCCATGAGATTATGAAAGACACTCTGTAAATTTTTTTTCTTTATTCATTAACAGGATGAGGGTGTTGTTGGCTAGGCAGCATTTATTGCCCATCCCTAATTGCCCAGAGGACAGTTCAGAGTCAACCACATTGCTGTGGGTCTGGAATCACATGTAGGCCAGACCAGGTAAGGATGGCAGTTTCCTTCCCTAAAGGACATTAGTGAAATTCAATGGTTTCTTCCTTTATTTCTTCAATGAACTCAAATCACAGGCTCTGCTTTAAGGATGTCTCAGCAAAAGCCAATTCGTAAATGTGCAAAGAGATATTCCCAAATAACTTGCAACAATAGAGTGTACGGTGGTGAGTTTCTTTCACAGCAAAGCCTTGAAATAGCAATAATCGGATGATCCATTTTAGTGGTGTTGGTTGAGGAGTAAATATTGGTCAAGAAACCAGAGAAAACTCCTCTGCTGTTCTTCAAGATAATGGCATGGAATTTCTTACATACACCTGAGAAGGTGCTCGACCTCTGTTAAATGTCTAAACTGATAAATGCTACCTCCCATAGTGTCATGCTCCCACTGTACCCAACTGTCACTCCAGATTTTTGTGCTCAAGTCCAAAGAGTGTGATTTGTTATGATCCCTGATGGGACCACCATATTTATGTTACAGTCTGTCTAGGGACCAGTGACCTTTCGTATAAAGTGGACGAAGTTTTAGATTACAGGTTTTTTTGTTTTATTCATTCACGGGATGAGGGCGTTGCTTTTAGGCAGCATTTATTACCCATCAGAGTTGCCCAGAGGGCAGTCAAGAGTCAACTACATTGCTGTGGGTCTGGAGTCACATGTAGGCCAGACCAGGTGAAGATGGCAGTTTCCTTCCCTAAAGGACATTAGTGAACTGGATGGGTTTTTCTGATCATTGGCAACAGATTCATGGTTATCACTAGATTCTCAATTCCAGGCATTTTTTATTGAATTCAAATTCCACCATCAGCCATGGTGGGATTCAAACCCAGAATGTTATCGTGGTCCCTGGATTGACAGTCCAACGATAATACCACTAGGCCATTACCTCCCCCACTTACTCAGAGAAAGATGCCACAATATTCCACAGTTTGAAACAACAAAATAAACTTTACTATACAAAATTATAACAGTAATACAATCCGCAATATACAAATTTATATTCTGACATCCAGAATTAACAGGTGGTAAATAGAGGTAATAGACAAACTGTGGACAAACACCTTCACAGAGCATATCAAATAGAAAATGCAGATCCCACTGATTTGTCAGCAACTTCTCAGATGCTAGTTTCTGTAGGCCAGCAAACCTCATTAAAACTTTATCTTTTTTACATGGGATTTCAATTCTTCACTTCTGAAGATCTACCTGCAGAACTCCCTCAGAAACTGCTCCATCATGAACTGTTATGACTGATCCAGATCCTAGTAGTTCACTCTCCGTTACTGTGACTGCTTTCCCCTGGATACTTAGACTGCCCTTTGGCACCTTCTCATGGGCACAAGACCAGCCCTTTCACAGACAGCTGCATTCACTAAGTGGCATTGCCACTGGCTTTTCTCAGCTGCACCAAGCAAATGCTGCTTGTGGGCTTCCTTCACCACAACTCTCAGTTGCACAGAATTATCAATGCTTCTCAGGGTTCATTCCAAACTCCCACGGTTCTAGACAGTTCCCAGGAATTCTCTAGCTGTGTTAAGCCTGCTATATCCGTATCTTTTTAGTATGCTTTGTGTATTCTATATGTTACTTCTGTGTTGTAGGTTTAATTTAATGTTATGGAATACGGTAAGATGGCACCTGAGTGTAATTATAAAGGGATAATTTCTGGATGATTTACACCCAGTTATCTCTGTTCAGATGTAAGTAAAGATCCCTTGGGATTACTTGAAGAAAGGAGATCTGCTTACATTGTTTCCCTAATCAATAAAACCAGATGATTCATCTTGTTGTTTGTGGGATATGGCAAAGTATATAAGCATTATATGCTAACCTATGCAATATTTGTGGCTGCATTTCAGAAAGAATATATAGCACTTGAAATTCTTCAGGATACTGTAAGATTTGAGAGAAGTTCATTTCCAGCTCTTTGTTTTAGCTTGGTGTTAAATGTGGAGCTAGTATTAAGTCTAAAATGGGTGCAATGACCAAATGATATCCAGCTTTTAGTGAGTTTGTCTTGGTACATTTGGCTGAAAGATTGCCACAAACAAGACGAGCCATATTGCATTGGGTCTATATATCACTCTGTCATATATATACTTGACCTGAGGAAGTCACGAGCCAAGGTACAAGAACATTCATGGCACTAATTTGGTCTTCAGAATAGAGGCAATGTAACGGTGAGAAGGAAGGAAGTGACAGCAAAAATTAGAACAGTCAGAAGTCAATACAACAGTCAGTGTCACAAAGAGATAATTATTTTTATTGACGTTATGTATTAAAGACAAATTTATAAATATACAGTAATATGTACAATATGAGTAACAGTAGCTTTAAAATGTTAACTCCTGGTGGCAATAAAGAATTAACTCTAAAGAAAAATAAATTCAAATAAAGCCATTCATGTTTAAATTGTGCATATCTTAAATACTGCCCTTCTCTAAACGTAGTTGCACTAGTGATTTCTACAACAATACATAAATTAAATTCAATGCTTTCTTGGTTCTAACTGTTGATATATTGAATATAATCTGGGATATACATTGATAACAATGCAAGGAATTAGAGGTGAATACTACATTCTATCAACCTGTGAAATTTCTTTTTTTAATAGACATTCAAGTTGTCACATTCTATAAAATACCACTCTCCTGAAAGATGGAGTGGTAATAGCTAGACTGAAATTAAAATGACATGGTTATGGAATTATGCTCAATTTAATGTGACACTAGATAAAGAAATATTGTCTGTATCATACGGGGATGCAGTAGGTTGAATTATCAACTGATTTCATCTTAACAATCAGTGCCAAAATCTCAAATGAGCAAAGACTCTACTCCAAGTATCAACATCTACAATGAAGTTAGTTTGTTTGAGTGGGAGTGTCAGAGCCTGTGATCACAACCCTATCGCAAGTTTTCCTCTGGTCTGATGTATGTCTGCCAGGCGAACACCAAAGCAATGTCTTGACAAGACATCAAAACCTGTGCTGAGTGCTAAGCTAGTCAACTGACTAGTATATGCTGCTGGTGTACTGGGTACCAGTGGGGCCACCCCTGGTGTACTGTGTACAGTTTTGGTTTCCTTACTTGAAAAAGGATGTACTGGCACTGGAGGGGGTGCAGAGGAGGTTCACTAAGTTGATTCCAGAACTGAGGGAGTTGTCTTATGAGGAGAGATTAAGTATGGGATTCTATAGTTATTGGAATTTAGAAGAATGAGGAGGGATCTTATAGAAACATATAAAATTATGAAGGGCATAGGTAAGATAGAAGCAGGGAGGTTGTTTCCAATGGCAGGTGAAACTAGAACTAAGTGGCATTGCCTCAAAACAAGGGGAAGCAGATTTAGTTGAGGAGGAACTTCTTCACCCAAAGGGTTGTGAATCTGTGGAATTCCCTGCCCAGTGAAACAGTTGAGGCTAACATGTTAAATGTTTCTAAGGCAAAGATTGATTTTTGAACAGTAAAGAAATTAAGGGTTATGGGGTGAGTGGGTGGGTAATTGGAGCTGAGTCCATGGCAAGTGTGGAAAAAGTTAGCATATTATAGAAGGTTCAAGAAAAGTCAGTATCGAAAAGGCAAAAAGACTATGTGACAGATAGAACATTAAAAGGAAATGTCAAGTCAAAGTGTTCAAACACCCCTAGTTCTTAGTAACTGTTATCTTAGTAAAACCTAATCACATTTTTGCCCTAGTCAGTAAAATAAGTGCATGTTAGCTAAACATTAACAGAAGAATAAAGCCTGCAACTCAGAAAGATGATGAGATTTCTAGAGAACGTTAAGCTTTGGACTATGAGATCACTGTTATCTGTCGCGTTGACTTGTTTGTCTCTCTCTATAAATATCCTGTAACTCTGCATTGCTGCAGAGTCTTCAGTATCTAACCTTTGTTAGCTTCGACTCTCCGTGATATCACAAATAAAAAGCTCTCTTTACCTTGAAACCTGACAGCTGCAGTCCAGTTGTTGGCTTATTAGAAGAAATTCTCTAACAGAAAGGTCAGCCATGATCTTGTTGAGTGGTGGAGCAGGCTCACTGGGTCAGATGGCCTACTCTTGCTCCTATTTCTTATGTTGTTATGAAAGGTGGGGGATCGGTTTGGTTCGGTTGGCTGGACGGTTGGTTTGCAGAGCAGTGTGAAGCCAACAATGTGATTTCAGCTCCCATCACCTGCTGAAATTAATATGAAGGATTCTCCTTCTCAACCTTTCCCGTCACCTGAGGTATGGTGGCCCTCAGGTTAAATCACTACCAGGCGTACCTCTCTCATGGGAGAGCAGCCCTCATGGTCTGGTAAGACTATGGCAACTTGATTTGACTAGATATGGAAGGGTCATGATAGGTCAGCAAGCTTCATATAGGGGCAAATAAACATGGTCCACTCTTCCCTCCTTCACCTAAGAATGATGCTGTGGTAAGACAAGGTACAAATGGATTCACTCTTGTGGCTCTTCTTTCCCCATAGAGCAGTGAGCTTCTGGATTGCATTGCTGGTTGGTAGTTAATGACTGTCAGAAGAGGATCTAAATCACATCTTTACTGGTGCAAAGATTGCATGATATAGAAAATAAGTGTCTTGTAGACAGCCAATAGCACATGCTTTCCTGGACTGGCTTTTACTGCTCAAGTGTGTTGGAGAGGAATTTTCACAGAGTATTCCCTCATTGGCCATAGATTTTTTTTTCTCTCTGTATTTTGTCTCTTCCAGGAGATTTGTTGGTGATAAGGCTGTGGTGGGTGGTGAATAAGTTTTTATTTAGTTACAACAGTGTAGCATGGACTGATCTTGTCCAATTTTGTGTGCCTGAAAGGAAGTGTTGATTAATCAGTGATCTTAATCTGGTCATGTTCTGATTGGAATTTTCACCTGCTTAACTTGATTACATTTTTATGCTTCAAATCATGCTCTGACCTAACATAATGACAGAAAAGCTTAAACTCATTTTGTTGAATTCAACAAATATCCATCCACTAAAGTCTAACATGTGCCGCAGTAAGACGGCTGTTGACATTTGGAACCATCCGTGCAAATATACAAAATCTTTAATTGGGCAAGAACTGCCATTATAAAATATACCTGACAAAAACAATCAAACTGATGTAATATCATAGTTAGTTACAAACAATTCAATCAAAACAAAATATTGGAAGAAAGCTTTACAGTGTATAATATGGGATTAGTCCAGAAATATACAAGTCCCATTGCATTTACATCCAACTGTTAAGCTTTATGAAGTTTGTAAAACAATTATCCACATAAATAACTTTTTTTTTGAAACATCATTTTTGACAGACATGTGGTCATGCTTTTGGGATGGCTCAGTCATACTGGAAATGGCTCTTTCTATGATTTCAAATGAACAACATCTGCTGATCAGAGTCCTACCTGGTTGTGCTGTGGTATGATTGAACTCTAATACAGTAAGCATAACTAAAGGGCATAGCTTTCCTTCTAAATAACCTGCAGAAAGACTGGGGAGAGTCTTTCTCACTTATAGTTATGAATCCTTAGTGCAAAGAATACAGCAGCTGTGTTCAGTCTTGTTGAACACATATGTGGCATTTGACTGACCTCAGTTCAACTAGAAAACTACCTAAATAAATTCTCCTTATTTGTAAAAGCGATACAAGTCAAACAGCTTTCATAGCACAATTGTGAAATCACAGTTCATTACTTATTGGTTACTGCTGGCATGGCATTGTTTTCCTGAATCCAATTAACACATAGGAGTAGTCACTTCAATGTTTAGCTCACAACATTCCCAGGCCCATGGCCTGTGAACTCTGACCCCCAGCTGCCATGGGCTACTTTGTCACAACAGGTTCTCCTCTTGTTGTTGGTTCAGCTGTTGAATGCCCTCGAGAATTTCCAACACAATGTTGTAGCAGAATACATACTGATCCTGCATGTTGATACAGAGAAAGTGTTAACTTACACATCTCACAATAAATGAATGTCAATGTAAGAGAATGACACATTGGGACAAATAAACCATGAAAGGAAAGCTCTACACCTTGGTATCAAAGGAAAGTACTGCCCTTTCTGGTCACCTCAATCAAATGTGGCTCAATCCTTCAACCATATCAGTTTAATAAGAATGGAAACCTCTATTCAATCCAACCTGACAGCTCTAGAGTTATGGCTATTAAGAACAATAAATAGCTTTAAATTTCAATTATATTTTTACAGTTCATGTATTTTCTTTAACAATAAACATTTTATCCTTAGTGTTAAAAATCTACCAGTGGACTCTTTGAAACAGAAAATAAAAAGGTACGGTCCGACAAGCTCTGACTTTTCCACTGTTAACAACAGGTGGGATCATAAGACAGCGTACTGTTCACTCATTTCTCCTTGCGTAAGGGATCGTAAAAGAAGACATTAAATAAGGTGGACCAAGAAAAACTATTCTTCTTTAAGAATTGTTAAATGTAATCGCTTATAGAGTCGTAGAGTCATACAGCATGGTAACAAACTCTTCGGTCCAACCAGTCCATGCTGAACATAATCTCAAACTAAACTAGTTCCACCTGTCTGTGCTTGGCCCATTTCCCTCCAAACATTTCTTATTCATGTACTTATCCAAATGTCTCTTAAACATTGTAACTATACCCACATCCACCACTTCCGCTGGCAGTTCAATCCACACACGAACTACTGTCTGTGTAAAAAAGTTACCCCTCATCTCTTTTTAAAATCTTTCACCTCTCACCCTAAAAATATGCCCCCTAGTCTTGAAATCCCCCACCCTAGGGAAAAGACACCTGCCATTCACCTTATTTATACCCCTCATGATTTTATATCCCTTTGTAAGGCCATCCCTCAACCTCCTACATTCCAGTGAAAGATGTCCCAGCCTATCCAGCCTCTCCTTTTAACTCAAACCCTCCATTCCTGGCAGCATCCTGGTAAAACTCTTCCAAACCCTCTCCATCTCAATAATATCCTTCCTATAACAGGTGACCAGAACTAGTCACAGCACTCCAGAAGAGGCCTCACCAATGTCTTGAACAATCTCAACATGACATCCCAACTCCTGTACTCAAAAGGTTTGAGCAATGAAGGCAAGCATGCCAAATGCCTTCTTAATCACCCTATCTATATGTGTAGCAAACATCAAAGGCTTATGTAGCTGAACCTCTAGGTCTCTCTGTTCTACAACACTACCCATATTTTTAATTGTCCGAGTCCTGCCTTTGTTTGTTTTACCAAAATACAATACCTCACATTTATCCAAATTAAACTCCATCTGCCACTCCACAGTGCATTGATCCAATGCATCAAGATTTCTTTGTAATTTTAGATAACCTTCTTCAGTGTCCCCTATTGGGAGATCTCCAGGGCCTTACCTGAAGACAATCCTGGCTTCAGGTCACATTGTTGTGGAAACACCCAGTTTAAACTGTGGGAAAATAGCTCCATTAAATCTTTCCATTTACAGTGTACGGATCACTATTCAGATAGTTTCACTATTCCTTGTTTCAAATGAACACAGTGATATTAGGAAATGGATAAAAATAAAACTTCATAAATCATATTAAAGACTACCTTTCACCACTTCTCTCTCTATGTATGCTGTCTTATGGTCCTACCTGTTGTTAACAGTGGAAAAGTCAGATCCCAAGCTTGTCGGACCTTATCTTTTTATTTTATGTTTCAATTGTGAAGTTTGATCAGAGGAGTCCACTGGTAGAATAGTCATATAATTTATGTTAATTTAATTAAAATGAGTAAGATACAGAGACTTTTTTTCTGACCCTTTGCCTTGCTGAGCTCTGGAGAAAAATCTGACCTTCGGATTGTAGACTGGCCAAAACACTTAAACCAAATGACCATCAAACATATGCAGAAATTAAGCTTGGTTGCAGAATGGAACCGCGTGACAACCTTATGTGCTGTTGCCCACAGAAACACTGAAGACAGACTGGGATCCTTGCCAACAATGAGCCTGCATTGATGGATGGGCCTACTAGAGTAGGTAGGTGAGGCTGACTCTGGTGAATTTGATGGTTACTGGCATCTGATGAGGGTTCAGGGCCACTGGGCTAATAATCCAGTGATCAAGGCTAATGCTCTGGGAACACAATTTCAAATCCCACCATGCCAGCTGGTGAACTGTAAATTCAATTAATATATCTGGAATTGAAATCCAATCTTAGTAATAAATGGCAGGAAATTTATTGTAAGAAGCAATCGGGTGAATGAATGTCCTTTAGGAAAAAGGAATCTGTTGTTCTTACCTGGTCTGTCCTACATGTGACTCCAGACCAACCTAAATGTGGTTGACTCTTAATAGCCCTCTGAAATGATCTACCAGGCCACTCAGTCCAAGGGCAATTAGGATGTTGCACAACATGAAACAATGCCCACCTTCTGTGAAAGAGCAAAGGGTAAAACAACATGTGTCTAAAGGTGGCAGTGGGGAACCAACCAGGGCAGTGGGGGTTTTGGATGCTGGTCAGGTAGAAACAATTGGTCAGTCTGGGTGGCCGAGGAGCAGAGAGATTGCGGTGGGAGTGTGTTCACTGCAGCAATTCTGCTTCTGGCCCATAAGCTGTGCATGTTACTTATGGACACAGCCCCACTTCCTCTTTTTAGCTGCTGAACTTGCTTACTCCCAAGAACCCTGGTTGTGCAGGGCTACTATGAAGATTCATTGCCTTGTTCTACTATTTCAATGACCAAACTGAGCATATTGAGCATACTGAGCATATTGATCATCTGTCCCTTATAGCAATGGGGAACCAAACTCAACTGACCCATTTTTTTGCAGGGGGAGGTTTACGTTCCCAGGGTAACAGGCAGCCCTGTCAATAAACTTGTCCAAAGGGCTTTCAGAATCGTATATTGTGAGGTTTACCTTCGTCTGAATCATGCCGTGGCGTTGTCTTCTCATGTTTCTCACTATGTCCATGATGTCAAACTATTTAAAAGAGAGAAATCATTGCAGGCTGACAGTATGATTTATATGCACAAAGCCATGGAAAGTTTAGAACAAAATACTAGTAGATTCACTATCTATCAACTATTAATATCAAATCTCAATTATCCATCAAATGTATCAAATTATCTATCAAATATATCAAAACTATATCAATAGAACCAAATTAGCATTGGACTATTGCAGACTCTGGGCCTAAAACACAACTACTTTCTCCCTTATTGTTTCCCCCAGTGGGTTCACATTCATAGAATCATAGAATCCCTACAGTATGGAAACAGGCCCTTTGGCCCAACAAGTCCACACTGACCCTGGAGCATCCCATCCAGACCCATCCCCCTATAACCCACCTAATCTACACATCCCTGAACACTATGGGCAATTTAGCATGGCCAATCCATCTAATCTGTACATCTTTGGACTGTGGGAGGAAACCGGAGCACCCGGAGGAAACTCACACAGACACAGGGAGAATGTGCAAACTCCACACAGACAATCACCCGAGGGAGGAATCAAATCCGGGTCCCTAGTGCTGTGAGACAACAGTGCTAACCACTGAGCCACCGTGCCGCCCCTGAAACCATTCACTGAAATGGTTCCTCCTCCTTCAACCTTACCAACGCATACTCAACCAATTGAACTTCAAATGGTTATTGACTTCCCCTCCCTCAGTTAAAGCTTTGACTCTTTTCAATTCCTGGCCCCCACAAAACCTGACCAGCGAAGCCAATCATCTCCCTGGGAACACATGAGAGAGAGAGAGAGGGCGGCGGGGGAGACAGAGAGATAGAGAGAGAAAGAGAGGGGGAGAGACAGGGAGAGAGAGACAGAGAGAGAGAGAGTGAGTGAGAGAGGAAGCCAGTTGTAGTGAGGGAATTCCAGAGCTGATGGTCCAGGCAACATAAAGCACCGACAATGCGAATAAAATTGGGGATGCACAAGTGGCCAGAATGAGAGGAGCAGAGATATTGCAGACAGTTGTGGGGCTGAAGGAGATTGCAGTGGTAAGGAAGGTCAAAGCCATGGAATGATTTCAAAGCCATGGAATGAAGTCAAGGCATTGCTTAATGGGGAGACTCTATACATCAGTGAGGCCCACAGGGTGATAGGGGAATGGGACCTGTTGCCATTTAAAACATGGTCAGCAGAGTTTTGTATAACCTCAGGTTTCCAGACTGGAGTATGTGGAATAAAAAGGACTGCAGATGCTGTAAATCAGGAACAAAATCAAAGTTGCTGGAAAAGCTCAGCAGGTCTGGCAGCATCTGTGAAGGAGAAAA